GTTCTCATCAAGGCAGGACCGCTGGATGGAACCGGGAGACTTATCGAGGAGGATTGGCCATGCGGAAAACTAGGACGGAAGTTCCGTCAAAGTCGACCATTCCTACAGGGTAATGAGGATATTTTATGGGCTACCACATTCTTCTCCGGAGATGACGATTCAATGTAGTCCGATCATGGCAACTAGACCAACGGATGTTGGTAGTTCAGTGACGTATTACCGGAACCATTTATTCTGAAGGAGGATGTTCACTCTAACTATCGTGTACTTTCTGTGTCGTGAGCCACCAGCAACACCATAAACGAGAGATCCAGCTGGGTTCCAGGTGGGTCTCTCGCAAAACCAAATTTGTTTGCAAATGAGTGTATTTCGCTAATTTCGTGCAATTTGGTTTCAAGTATAACATTAGGTTGATGAAAACCAGTTTAGTGAGCCTGCCTGATGAGCCCCTAGAAGGACGAAACCGGTCGCGGGCTGTCGAAGAATTTTCAGCAACCTTATGAGTAGTGTAATACGTCCATAAAAGCAAGGGTCCTCTTCAGCACTCAAAAACTTGGTGTATAACGCCTACTTAAAGTAGAATGCAGTCTGGTTTGGCATTTGTCGGATATTTTGACCTTAAACACTACAACTCAAAACACATAAAATCAACAAAAACGATGTTAAATTACTTCCTGATAGTTCATTTATGGTGAAAAGCACTCAATTCACGAGCTCCATGAGTTATTGACATCTCGCCCTAAGGCAAAAGATTGAATGCTTGAAGTTGGGTGGTACGTACGTGGAGAATCTGGTTGCTCCAGTGGGATGAATACTGTTCATAAAAGGCACACATTCAGTTGCAGAAACGCTCCAAAACCAATATGACGGAAAACTTAATGAATCCAGCAATACTCTCGATATTTGCGATGTATGAGCCTGAACTTTTGCATCATACCTTTTTGCGATTGACTCTAGACTCCGCATGAATAAACCCCTTCTGATTTCATTCACGCAAGCTCGCCACCACAAGCGTCTCATTAAACGGGTGGATATGATATAATACCCATAAAAAAGACAGCTGACTGAGCGGTACTCCCTCCGGTCAAAAACTTCGGGAAGGGACACTTCCTTTGGATTGGATTTTCCAGCACCGTCCTGGAACAAGCCCTACTGTTTGGTTTCAGCAAGGAGAGCAAGCTTAAGATCTTGCAGAATAAAGAGTTTGCGGCTTGTTTGTGTACTCTCATTCATTCGGTTAGGTACGTGACTTTTAAGCCTGGCCTCCCCCGTCCTCGCACTCTGGTCGATGCTGGAGTGACCTCTGTCGTTGACTTCCTATGGGTTTCGGCTTGTGACCCTTGTTGATCCAACTCCAAAGAGTTCCTTACTTTTTGCTTTGTGAATCTGATATTCGATTCTCCTTGAGAGTTGGTCCTTTACAGGTAGTGACGCGCAAATTGGGTCCAGTTGAATGCATCGGTTGATCAAATCAGCCGTGAAGTACCATACTTCCAGAAATTCCCTTCCGTGTCTCGTGTCTCCTTATTCCAAAATTTTCACGTTTTCCATACTGGATATGTAGCTTTTATGGTCTTCGTGTATGGATACCAAGGATAGGGGGTCATGTCTCCTGACGGCCGCGTTGTGTTCCTTTATTCGTGTGCATAATTCTCCTCTCCCCCAGTTTGTCCAACGCAGATTTTGTTGCAGTTGATTTGGTATACCACATTGTGCCTGTTGGTTTTGTCTTGGTTGTTCTTTGGTCTGGAGATCAATCTCCTTAACAACAGGCCGACTTACACACCGAAATATTCAAGGCGAGCCGGATATCGGATTTACAAACCAAGAAGCAGGGAACTCCTTGGAGTCGGATCAACAAAGGTCGCAAGCCGGAACCCAGAGAGGGTCAACGACGGAGGTCACTCCAGCGCCGACCAGAGTACGAGGGCAGGGAGGCCAGGCTCGAAGGTCATCGGCCAATCGGGACAAGGGAAAACAGAGCAACCAATGAAACCGCCCGACCGAACAACTAATCGTGATCGAAGGTCAGCCATGGCTATCAGCACGCATATCAGTACGCAGTACTACTCAACGGACAACTGCCGACCCATCGCAGCGCTTCACTACGCTCCCTAACAACGCGATTGGTGATAAAACATCTGCAAGCAAACTGTTCAGCTCAGTGAGCAATCAACGGCCATCTATGCCACCTGAGCTACGAACATCCTCCTCTGTAGCAGACTAGTGTAATGTCCGCGAAATCTAGCTTTTGGTATAAGTTTGAGTGAAGCTGCCGAGCAAACGGTGCATCAGTCAGTCTAACGGAGTTCCCACGGCAATATTTGTTTGAGAAACTAATACTGTTCATAAAAGGCACACATTCAGTTGCAGAAACGCTCCAAAACCAATATGACGGAAAACTTAATGAATCCAGCAATACTCTCGATATTTGCGATGTATGAGCCTGAACTTTTGCATCATACCTTTTTGCGATTGACTCTAGACTCCGCATGAATAAACCCCTTCTGATTTCATTCACGCAAGCTCGCCACCACAAGCGTCTCATTAAACGGGTGGATATGATATAATACCCATAAAAAAGACAGCTGACTGAGCGGTACTCCCTCCGGTCAAAAACTTCGGGAAGGGACACTTCCTTTGGATTGGATTTTCCAGCACCGTCCTGGAACAAGCCCTACTGTTTGGTTTCAGCAAGGAGAGCAAGCTTAAGATCTTGCAGAATAAAGAGTTTGCGGCTTGTTTGTGTACTCTCATTCATTCGGTTAGGTACGTGACTTTTAAGCCTGGCCTCCCCCGTCCTCGCACTCTGGTCGATGCTGGAGTGACCTCTGTCGTTGACTTCCTATGGGTTTCGGCTTGTGACCCTTGTTGATCCAACTCCAAAGAGTTCCTTACTTTTTGCTTTGTGAATCTGATATTCGATTCTCCTTGAGAGTTGGTCCTTTACAGGTAGTGACGCGCAAATTGGGTCCAGTTGAATGCATCGGTAGATCAAATCAGCCGTGAAGTACCATACTTCCAGAAATTCCCTTCCGTGTCTCGTGTCTCCTTATTCCAAAATTTTCACGTTTTCCATACTGGATATGTAGCTTTTATGGTCTTCGTGTATGGATACCAAGGATAGGGGGTCATGTCTCCTGACGGCCGCGTTGTGTTCCTTTATTCGTGTGCATAATTCTCCTCTCCCCCAGTTTGTCCAACGCAGATTTTGTTGCAGTTGATTTGGTATACCACATTGTGCCTGTTGGTTTTGTCTTGGTTGTTCTTTGGTCTGGAGATCAATCTCCTTAACAACAGGCCGACTTACACACCGAAATATTCAAGGCGAGCCGGATATCGGATTTACAAACCAAGAAGCAAGGAACTCCTTGGAGTCGGATCAACAAAGGTCGCAAGCCGGAACCCAGAGAGGGTCAACGACGGAGGTCACTCCAGCGCCGACCAGAGTACGAGGGCAGGGAGGCCAGGCTCGAAGGTCATCGGCCAATCGGGACAAGGGAAAACAGAGCAACCAATGAAACCACCCGACCGAACAACTAATCGTGATCGAAGGTCAGCCATGGCTATCAGCACGCATATCAGTACGCAGTACTACTCAACGGACAACTGCCGACCCATCGCAGCGCTTCACTACGCTCCCTAACAACGCGATTGGTGATAAAACATCTGCAAGCAAACTGTTCAGCTCAGTGAGCAATCAACGGCCATCTATGCCACCTGAGCTACGAACATCCTCCTCTGTAGCAGACTAGTGTAATGTCCGCGAAATCTAGCTTTTGGTATAAGTTTGAGTGAAGCTGCCGAGCAAACGGTGCATCAGTCAGTCTAACGGAGTTCCCACGGCAATATTTGTTTGAGAAACTGAGGATGTTATCCGGATAGGCTTATATACCGTGGTCATCATCACCAACATTGACAGCATGACATCAGTGTTCAGCGCTGATGTTTTCGTTGAAATCCTTATTGTGAAGAAAAGAGTAAAGGCGAATGGGGAAGGAACTTTGTGCTAGCTTATTACAATCATTGCGAGGTGCCTACACTTCCAGATACTCTATCGGACAATCTGGATAGAAACTGACAACAAGAACGCCACTGGCACAGATTAGCACCCATATCTCGCAGCTTTTACAACCAGGAGCAATAAGGACCACGTGGTCCCCATCCTGGAAGATGTGTAGCACTGGCAGCACTCAAACGTTTCGTAATCTCTTTCGTACCCCTCTACCAACGCAAGGGTTGACCAACTCTCTGCTTCCGTCACTCTGAATTTGGCACAGAAAACAGCACTCCCTTCGGCAAACGATGGTTCGGCGTACGCAATAAATGGGCTAACCAACGCAGCTTCTGATGCTGGGCACATCTTTGATGGAAGTCCCCGTTGCACCGGCGAATAATCACTTATTTGGTTTCCCCGTTACGGATCCACTGAAACCAACTTACACGGGCTACAGTTCAGAGATAACGGTTGACGAAAACCTGAAGACATCTTATTTCCGCTGCTCTCACTGGCCACCTCACAACCATACCACATAATAGCCTAGACAGTAGCCTGATACAGACTGCGGTCAGCTAACTGGTGTGTAGTTAAGCTTACTTGTGATTCTGTTCCACCAAGCGTGATATTTTCGTACGCTTTCGGCTATGTGGATAAATTTTTTCATCTCTACTTCGCACTTTCTACTTGTAACAGCCAAGTGAGTTTGACATGCTGCAAGGCAGTTGTAGTGATTACACTTACCTGTGGTTGATTTTTGCCGTCTGGACATAGCATGTCTCACAAAGCCTAACACTGGAATCGTCGGACACCCTTTGACCATATGATGATGCCTTTACAAACAACATATCAGATTGCAATATCGATGCACTAAGCGATGAAACAACCCCATTGACATTCAGACTGACAGACTTTTTGTCATCATTGATAAAAGCGATCTAACATTACAGTCAACCAAGTAGTTCATGGGAAAAAACACTTCTGCGTAGCCAGTGGGACCTACCTAACCAGAGAAGAACCAATAGGATGCCAGCTCGGCATCGAATGAGCGGTGACCAAAGGCCTTCAAAGCGAACAATACTCAAGGAGACCATTCGTCCAATCCATAAGGCCGCACTAACAGGGTTCATTCGACCAGTACATTCATAGCTTTTCAGCATTTCGCTAGTTTTCCGGTTTTGCTTATGCTGTGCGCGCAACAGCGAATCCGTCAAGGGCCTAGTTCCCATTGGACGGCAGCCTGACATGACCTTGAGGACCGCACTTCGTACGCACACGAGCTGTTGGTCGGTGGGACGTGGTCTAGTCCATGAAATCTAACCACTAAATCGATTACACCACGTACTACTTACACGGTAACGAAATACAACATGGTTGTTCGAGTGCAATCGATTCCATGAGAAGCTCAAACACGGTACGGCTAGGGTAAACGAAAAAGCGGAGCTTTTCAGTAATCCGATAGTGGTGAGCTGCCTCAACTTTCAGAGGAAACAGGTATTTCTGTAACCAGTTGTTCGAAAGTAAGTATCTGCTGGAATTCATCCAAGTGAGCTGCTTCAACTATCAGAGGAAACAAGTTTTTCTGTAACCAGTTGTTCGAAAGTAGGTATCTGCTGGACTGCACCAAATTTATACTGTAGTTCGCGTTAACTAGTCACTGAAGGCGTCCACCAAGAAATGGGTGGAAAGTCCCCTGTAATTATCATTTCAGAACACTAAACGAGGAGCAGGACGGGAACTGACAAGACGGGTTGAAACTGAAGACAATTATGAAAGCTTACCGGTAGTGTAATAACAGGATACTGGGGCAGTTCAGTGGTGCATTAGTCTTTTGGGCAAATGAATGATAGCATGCCGTTTGTATCAAATCTCAGTCGGACTGACGTTTCAGATACCCAAGAGGGTTATCCAGCTTCCTAAAATGTCATCGCTGGAGGAATGGTTGCGCTGGGATGAGGTGAGGAAAGGCTACCACCCCACAGAAATCTGAGGACTCAGTGAGTGTTTGATTCTATCAGGGGGATGGACAAACATCCATGAAGAGTCGTCTCGTTTTAACAGTAGCTTAGTTTCGTACACTTTCTAGCCTGTGCAGCTTACAATTTGATAGGGTTTTTCTAGACTGTACATCTCCTGTTGAATTCGCGAATCTCCATAAAAACCATCGTGATTATGGAGAATGGTCGTCAAGATAAGGGGTCTTCAAGAGAAAAATCTGAGAACGCCCAGTATGTTTTGTAGTCGGTTTGTTGGCTGAACCAGGTATTATGTTTGCAAATGTTTCCTCACCAATCTGGGTGACATCAGCAGTCCATTGTTAGGCAGTGGCGTGCAGCATAACGATGGATCAATAGCACCTCAATGTATCCCCTCTTTAGAAGTATTGGTTACTTCAGTGGATCCGGAACCAGGCAACATTTTGACGGGAGACTCAACCAAATTCCAGCTGAGTTACTCATTTATGATATTCTTCATATAAATGTTCTGTACAAAGACTATCTTCAAGATCTTAAACTACTTCTTGACATTACACTGCTCATAAGATTATTGTAGAGTTTCTGTCGATAAGTTCTCACCAACCTTATGAAACATATCTCCCCAAACGCCCCCAACCTAATTGGCAACTTACAATCCATTTTCACACACTGAAAGTCTAGAAATGACTTGAACAGCGGTCAGAACCACAAGAAGATTTGGTTTACAGCATTCCAGAAGGCAATTTTATGGCTGCAGCATTGGTTGAGCTTTGTTAAGTTAAACAAACTAATGATAAGTCTTCTCTACTTCTTGGAAGTTGCATTTCCTTTGCCGGAAGGTTTTTCCCCGACGCTTGAGCTTTCATTGAAACTGTTTCTTAGTACGAAGTGTGCAACGGTTGACAGACTATACATCAACATTCTTGATTGCTCTGTCCTGCGGTGCAAGAAAGACCCCTCCGTGAAGGAATCTCCAAACCACCGTCATAGCTGGATTAAACAACCGAAAGGGGGAATGTGGATAACAGAGATTCGGGGATTAAGGTTAACTGGTGAGCTGAGCTCCAAGGACAGCGAAAGCAGTGAAAGGAAAAAGGCCTTTTCTGTGAAGTTATTTATTAGAAAATGGTAACTGCCCGGTTACAGACTGGTGGACGGGGAAGCGAAACTCTCATTTGCATCTTATTTACAAAAACTGGGCATTAATCTTCTCCTGAACACGTCTTCTTGAACTTTCCTGGATATTCATTGGCTCCGATCATTCCTCGCTCAAATCCAAGCAAATGTTACAAAGCGACTGCACAAATTCTGCAACAGATCTCCCCTTTTCACAAGACGCAAAGCGAAATTCCACGAATAGCACATACTACTCGCGTGCCTCCCCATCAGTAGTATCACCGTTACACCAGTAGTGAGCTGTCAGAGTGTTTCGATCCGCCTCATAGCTAGTATCGAAAAGAGTAGCAGTTAGGAACAAACTGGAGGCCTATCGCTTATCTTGGCTTGTTATGGGTGAGCAAAACTCAATCCGCTTTGTTTGCGTTTTAAGCATATGAAGTTAGATATCACAGATGATAGTATCATTTGCAATGGCAGCTGTCTTGCTTCTACCCAAGTGTTAACCAGCAGAGTTAAACCAATCAGTGTTCGCCTACTCGAAGACCCTGTTGCTGAATCGCACAGATTCTTTTCAGTGAATTCGTTCGTGTTTACCCTACGTGACGCCTGCTGTAGATCTGTCGGTAGACTGGGGCAGTCTAGTCACCACAGGACGTCCCGTTAAGCTGGGCTAAAGTCGTAAAGCCGATTCTTTTGTGACTACTGGTTCACTTAGCAAGTAGCGAAAGTATAGTGTGAAAGTTTAGACCAGGGCGAAGGCTGTCCTGTGCAAGTGCCGCCCATGTTTCACTTGGTTCATTATTCGAGAGATCGCAGTATATTTTCTCGAAGGAACACTCTCATAGGACTGCTGGAAATTGCCGACAGCCCACGGCTTCTTAAAGCTCGTCAGGTAGGCGCACAGGCCGAGCTCCTCTTCGGTCAACACCACGTTCTACTTGAACGTGACTTGTAAACAATTGGCGAACTATCACGGACGATTGGTTGTCAGCGCAACCCACGTCGCATCTAACTGGATGCTGTCAGACAGTCTACAACGGTTTATCCAAAAGCTCAATCGCGTTCCACACCACTGACACCGGTCACGTGATCAGTCCCAATCAATCGCCTCACGTCATCTGCCGAGTTGGCAATAGAATGCCAATGTCAATTCAATGGCATAACTTGAGTACAGCAGAAGTGAAACCCCGCACTATTCGGTCAAGTCTCGAGTCTGCCTTGATCATGTAGCACGAATCAATCGAACAGTCGTTCAACGTCTTTCTAAAGTATCTCACAGCATCCATTTGGATCCGACGTGGGATGATGGACTGACAACCAACCGTCGGTGATTCCGCGTTTCTAATTCGGTAACAAATCTTATCTGCCTGTTTCATCATTTACCCATATTCCAATCATTGGACAGACTATGAGACCTCAAAAAGATTGACGTTCGTCAATGTGTCCTTGTTTAAACCATGGGAATAATCAAGCAACAAGCTAAGCTGTTGGGGTTTTATGGGCAATCACTAATCGAACGTCTAGTGCGTGCCTCGAAACCTTCTGTGGTTGTCTTCACATATAGCAGTGGTCCCGTAAGCTGTGTAAACTGTGATCATCACGTGATGTTTTCCAGCTTGTGTGCTCCCTGTTGCGTGGGTGTTGTCTCTCGAACAGGAATGCGTCTAAAACGGTCTTCTCCTTGTGGCTGATTCTAACCCACAGAGGAAGGGGTGCCAGGGTTGAACATATGATTTGCCTACTCGCATGCAATTCAGTAAATGTTACCAACTAGATCGTTTAAGTTGAAGAGAACGGTTTAGTTTTTCTGCTAAGAAGGGATCCCTCATTCATTACTATTGTAGCTGTCCTGACAGAGATCTCTTACCGTGTAAGTCGAGATGGATACTCTGGCAACTCAGGCTGGTACAGGGTGTCTCATAATAAACGCAAAATTTGATTGGGCCAAATGGAGAAGGGATTATAAAATTTTTTACCTTTAGTAGCCACATAAAGAAGTTTTGTGTGCAAGTGTTACCGTTTTCTTAGTTTACGCTGAATGTCAGTACGTGCATTGAAATTGTGAAACTCTGTTATTCCCCTGGTGAAAGCGCCACCGCTGCACTTCGTGATTACAAAACCAAACATGGTCTCATCAAAGGTTCTTTCACCGTGTCGACCATTACACGCTTGATTGCAAAATTTGAGTCCACTGGATCTGTATTGGATTTTCCTGGCAAAGGGAGAAAGTCTCTGAGTGATGGAAGAGCGACCATTGTACAGAATGCCGTCGAGCAACTTCAGTCCCAGAGCACCATGGCATCTTCGACAATAACTCAGGTGTCTCAGTTGACCGGCAATCCCCGCGCCAGCGTGCATCGTATTATGAGACGCTACCTTCATCTCTACCCGTATCATTTCACTTTATTACAAAACATCACGGAAGAAGATAAGGAGCAACGTGTCACGTTCTCTAACTGGCTGCTGGACAATGAAGAAATCGTTCCCAACAACTTATGGAGCGATGAAGCAAATTTTTCTGTGGATGGCATAATCAACAAGCACAATTGCACGACATGGTCCCGTGAAGCTCCCCATAATCTCCATTCCCCTCATCTCTGTTTGTGGATGGGATTCTCCTCAAAGTGTCTCCTGCGTCCCTTTTTATATGATGCTACGGTTTCCGGCGACAGTTACCTCCATATGCTGCAGACGCATGTTATCCCCCAACTCAAGCAGCACAAGGAGTCATCGACCATCTTCCAACAAGATGACGCTCCACTCCACTACTCAAACTAAGTGAGAACTTACCTCCGAGAGCAATTTTCTGACGAGAGAGTCATTGATCGTGGATTTCCAAACTTTTGGCCCGCAAGGTCACCCGATCTTACACGTCTGAATTATTGGTTTTGGGGAGTGATCAAGGCTCGCGTATATCATGAAAATAAACCGAAGAATTTGGTGGAGTTAAGAGCAAGAATTGAAAACGGGCGTGCACGAGTGACGCTTGAAGAAGTTAAACATGCCGTGTCTCACGTCTCATACCACCTCCAACTTTTTATGGAAAAAAAGGCGGTTTTTGCAAC